ACTGACAAAAGTAAAGCGCTCTCATAGAGGGAAAAAGGCAAAACACTGAATCTCTTTAAGCAATGGCTTAGATCTGGCTTCTTGGGACAATGAACAAGACGAACCGATAACTAACAAGGGGAGATCTTTTATATTTTGCATACTTTTCTATATTTCCTTTACTATGTACCAGTGAACAATTCTAACTAAATGTGAAAGCTTGGCTTTAAAATGTATTTTAATTTTAAAGTGAACATCATCAAACGGTGCACTGCTTACCTAGTGGCTAAAGTCACAGTATACCACATTCATTTACACCACATTGTTTTAAGTGTATTTAAGTGTCCTTTTCTGATGCCTGTTTTAAAGGTCCCATGTCATGGCCATTTCCACTGATCATAATTCCATTGTTGAGGTATACTAGAATAGATTTATACTGTTCAATTTTCCAAACTCACATTGGTTTCTCATACAGCATCGTACAATGTGTATTCATTTTCTGTCCTACACGGCTTGTTGGAGCTCCTGCAGACAGTCTGTGGTTTGTACTTGTTTAACTTTTGTCTAGTTTCTGAACAGATATGAGGAGATGTGAGCTCTGAGGGCTAACAGCTAACGCCTGATGTTGGTTTTGTGTTTCGTATTGAAGATGACGTCACGGCTCCGCCTACACTGCGTTACCATAGTTACTGCCCCAGCTACTAAACTGTAATGGAAACGCAGCATAAAGTGAGCCTGGCCTACCAAGGCCTAACTATACCGTACTGCCGTGCGAGGCTCGCACGTCTTAGCCCGCAGGGGCAACGTGAGTCGCCAGCGGGGCATGTTCTAAAAATAGCTCGCCAAGCAAATCCAAAATGTAAAAAATACACAAAACAAAAAAGGAAATGTAATTAAAAGAATCTGCCCTATGCATAAACAAAACCTCAATCAAAAGCCGCGTTCACACCGCGTACTTTGCAGTACTTAGTGCCGGCACTTAGTGCCCCGGTACTTAGTGCCGGCACTTAGTGCCCCGGCACTTAGTGCCCCGGCACTTATTACCCCAGGGCACTAATGGCACATTTCCACTGCAGCGGGGTAGCCCCGTTTAAGCGTCCCTAAGCGTCCTCGCTCAGGCCTCGAGCTGCCTCGCCGGCCGTCCGAGGCTGTGGCGCATTTCCATTACAGTTTAGGACCTGGGGTAGCAACGCAGTGTAGGCGGGGCGATCGGCTTCACATTTCGAGTTGTTCCGTCCAGCTCCCGCTGGATTTTATCATCCCCCAATGAGATGTAGGAACGTCGTCACCTCCTCGGTCGACCACGGTGTGCTTTTCTTTGACATTGCCATTTTTGTAGCTCCTCCGTTTACAAAAATGCTGTGTATAATAATGCTGCAAGCTTGCTTCTAGATATATATGCGATGCTAGGGATGATCTCGCGCGCGATCTTGTGACGATTCTCTCTGACCAATCAGCAGTCGAGAGTGTTGACTTCACTAGTTCAGCCCAGGCCCTGGCCTGATAGAACCACGATTTTATGGGGCCGGAAAAAGTACCCGCTAGCCGGTACTACGCTATATGGAAAGGCCACCAAAAACTGGCCTGGCCGCTTGAGGACGATTAAGGACGCTTAAACGGGGCTACCCGCTGCAGTGGAAATGCGCCATAAGTACCAATTGCGTTCACACAGAGTACTTTTACCTGAGGGAAGATTACGCAAATGAAGCCGCTGACGTCACTTCATCTTCTTCTGCTTTGGGTTTACTGGCAGGCCGCAAACCACTTTACGGCGTATACTGCCACCCGAAGTCCCCGGCCGGAAGTCCCCAGAGTTGGGGACTGGCTTCAGTAGAAGCTGCTGGGAGTCACAGCAGCTTCTACTGAAGCCTTCCAAGTAAATCGCCAGAACGCCGACACCTCCTCATCTCCACCGCTCCCATGTTTTTTTTTGTGTTGCCATAAGTTATTCTCTCTCCGTTGGTGCGCGGGGCTAATGCTAATAATGCTAATGCCACAAATACAATGGCAGCTTCACAAAACTTTTCAGTTTTACGGGGCGTGGTTTGCAATTCACCCAGCCAATCAGAACTGGGGCACTTTTTCCCCCCAGGATAGTACCACCTCTCAGCAGGCACTAAAAATGGGGGTAAAAGTTCCCGGCACTAAGTACTCTTTTTGGTGTGAACGCAACATAAGGGGTACTAACGGAACTAAACGGGAAAAGTATGGGGAAAAGTACTCCGGTGTGAACGCGGATATAGCGAACTCTATCTACTTACTATAACTCTATATCTATCTAACACCTCTCCTCCCCCCACCCCCACAATGAATATCGACCGATCACGTTCTTGCTTGATTTGCGGGACCAGCGTTGCAGTCAGGAAGAAAAGCAATATGGAGCGGCACCTCACCGCTTCATAAGGAGTGTGACCTTTCCTTCTGGCAGAATCTACACAACACATCAGCCCCATTGAACACAGCCTAGTCGTGCCAGGCTATACAACACATGAGGGGCAGTGTTTTACTGTGTACACACGCAGGGCCGCACCTGGCCAACTTGGGGCCCCAAGCGACATTGTGAGATGAGGTCCCCCCCAACCGACAGGAGTGAAAACATTTTTTTTGGAAACAAAGTAGGCTACTTTGCAAATATAATTCCTGTTCATTATTATTATCAACACAGTTACTTTTTTATACAGTGAGGTAAATGGTAAAGCGTTTACAGGTGAATACGTCTGCATTTCCTGCCAAATACTAGCCTCACAAAGATTAAAATATAATGAATGCAAATAAACTACTTCTACTAATAATAATAATCATAATCAATTCAATAATATAAATACTATATTATTTTTTGTAATATAGTCGAGACAAAACATGCTTATGACATGCTCAAAAACTGATATTTCTTAAATCTGAATTCAAATGTAGTTCCCTCTGTCAGCAATGTGTCAACAACTACACACACATTACTATCAGTATTTCTCTGTGTTGTGGTTGACATGACGATGACTGTTAGGAGTTAAGGGGAGAGGCTGAGCATCACCATGAAATGTGCAAATTGACATCAAAATGAATAAAAGGGGAAAAAATGCTCCATGTTTTTTTAGACAGACAGATTATCACTCTTCCTCCTGTACATTAGCAGATAAAAGGCATAACATACTTGAATGAATGGTAAATAAAGAATGCAGCCTGCGTGTAGGGAGGGGCGGCCCTGTACACATGCATCATTTCCACTGGTGACAGGGGGGCATGTGACATGTCCCCACCACTTTTCGAAATCCTGTTTCCCCCACTTTACAAATAGCTTATGTTTATTATTATTTTTTAACACGAGCGGTCATCGACACGGAGGAGCACACAGCCTCTGTGAGCGAGTCAGACACAGAGAAAGCGAGAGAGAGAGAGAGAGAGAGCTAGAGAGAGCACACCTTTATCTATTCAATATAGCCTAGTTGTAAAATATAAAGTAAGAAATCATTCCAATGTGTAGGCTACTATAGGACAGTAAAAAAAACAAAAAGCAGTTTAAAAGGGGAGTGATTAGTAAAATATGCATAAATAGAAAGAAAGAATGCTAACTATGTAACATAAGATAAGAATAAAAAAGTTTAAATGAGTTGTTATTTGTTGTGATCATATGGAACGCTCTCCCTGCGGAGATCCGCAACATCCCCACGCTTGACGCCTTCAAAAGGGCCCTCAAGACCCATCTGTTTACTAAGGCATTTGGCCAAACGATTTGTTATTGGTTGTGATCATATTCTAAAGATCATTGGATGGAGTGTTTGAGAGCAAAATGAATTTATGGATACAGCTCTCAAAGTGCAACAGATTGATGCATTTCACGTCAACATTTAAAAACAAATCTTCTTGGGGGTGCATGCCCCCGGACCCCCCTAGAGGATGTGAGGTCCACCCCCAAATAAAGCAGGTTAAAAATAATTAGATTGCATACATTTTCTTTTAGTAAACACTGAAAACGGGTCCCACAGACCCAAACAGCACACGAAGGTTAAAGGTAAGCATATAATAATGTTAAAATGTGCTAAATATATACACTGCAAAAAAACAAAAAAGAGGAGTAAAAGTAGCCCTCGACTTGTTTTATTTTTTGAAAGTAGCTCTCATCCTAAAAAAGGTTGGTGACCCCTGGCTTAGAATGTTCACATTGTTTGACATTCACATACTTCTCATTATAGGCTGGTCTATATCAAACCTGAGGTTCACACTTGTTCAGGTGGGTGACACTGACACGTGACGTAATGCAATACACCACAGCCTCCTGCCTTTACCAAGGAAATGTGTTTGAATGGTAAATGACTATCTCTCCTAAGGTTGTTTAGTAATCCACCAGCAGAGGGCGCTCAACAGCTGCATTATTGAAGTGGGGAGCAGGCCTCCTTGGATCCATGAAATATCTTCATGACATGTTTGATTTGTTTTTGTGGTTTTTCTCATTTATGACAGCACATGTCACAACGTTGTCCCCATTACATTATATACAGTGTTCAACACTTGTTGACGTAATATCAATACATTATTTCAGTGAATGGAAAAGACGCCGATTTCTCGCGCTGGATTATGATCAGGACATTACAATAAGAGAGATCAAATATTCCATGAAGAAGGTCACTCGTCTCGGGTAGAGACAGTTTACCTACATATATAGGCCTACCATTGGACTAACTTCAATACATTTAATATATAATCGCTCTGGACTATGTTACCATCTACCAGCATATTTTTTACATTAATATTATTTGTAGAAACAATGGGACAGGTGAATTTGGATTCCGGTAAGGTAACCATAGTGAGCCATAAAACACAGTGTCAAGCTAGACAGAGTTTATCCGGCCGCGATGACGAGTTGTGAGGTTTCACCTTCAGAATAAAAGCTCTACTTTCATCCTTTATCCCAGTAGACCGTACCTTTGCTATATTCATTTTATTTTGAAACACAACTCCCGGAAATGACAATGTTATAATGCGGTATTGACAACCCCTCCTCCAGAGAAGCTTCTTATCGTTGACTAAACAGAACTTCCTAGAAGCAGGACAACTTTTCTTTCCAGGTCAGAAACTTTGCTCCCGGCGGTGTAATGTAAAGTGGAACCTTTGTCTTCCGACCTGCTGGGGTGACACAGCTAGTTTGGGCCTGTTTGGGTAACGTTGGGCTAGTTGTGAGGTAACGTTACACCAGACTTTAACATGCATATGCTAGCGCCTAACGGATCCATCATGGAGCTGGACTCGGAGTTTGTGAAAATTAAAGCTCACTACAGTGGGTAAGTAGCCTGTTAAAATGCTATATACGGTGAGAGGGGAACACCTGTTTGTGTGTGTGTCTGTGGGAGGGGGAGTACAGTGAGGTAGGGTCAGCCAGTGACTCTGCTCTCTGCACTGTCACTCACCTGTAGTAGGCATAGTCAGAACAATTACAATGAAAGTAATTGAGTCATATCGGAATTGTAGGACATTTAGACGTCAAAGCTTTTGAATAATAAACCCTTTATTTTCAGAGGTGTCCAAACTTTTTTCTCACTGAGGGCCACTCGAAAAACATACGAAGGGCTCCAGAGGGTTTCATTTATTCTGTTACACAAAGTGTTGGCAGCTGATCCCTTACAACAGGAGCCTCAGATTGCTTATAATAAGGGGTATATTTCAAGCTGGTTATATAAATAAGTGATTTATTATTATTAAAATGTGTTAGAAAGTATTATCAACTTTAATTGACCGACACATTCATTATACCGTGTAATATCTGTTTACACACATATATATCAGGGTTTCCCACACATAGACTATACTTGGGCGGGCCGCCCAGGTATATTAACGGCCGCCCAAGTATATTTCGCGACCCATTTAGTTTTTTTTTTTTTTTTTTTATAATTTTTTTTTTTTAATATATATTTTTTATTCGTCCGTGACCACGACGCCATCTGCGATCGATTAACTTGTAGATAATGATCCCTCGCTCCCTTGCTCTGATCTCGCCTCCTTCTGGCCTGTTAAGTGGCTTGCCTCACACAGGGTGACTGGCTGTCCACATGATGTGGCCTGCCGACATGGCCACTGTCATACAGATCATAAATCAAAGCCCTTGATTGGTCTCTGTGTGTCATTCAAGCTCGGGATAAACCTCAGCTCAGGTGAGGTAAAGGACTCTCTGAGTGTTTAGATAGTTAACTTAGTCTAAGTTCTCAGTGGGTCTCAAACGGTGTGGTCACCATTTATGTAAACACATATTTCCATTTGAGCGGGTAGTGATTGGTCTAATGCAGTGGTTCTCAAAGTGGGGGGCGCGCCCCCCCAGGTGGGCGCAGAGGCATGACAGGGGGGGGGCGCGAGAGACCAGGAGAAAAAATGGTTATTAAAAAAAATAATTTATATTTTAAATAAAATAAAATAAAAATCATATTTTGAAAAATTATTGATTTGAAAATAATATGATACAGCACAGTACTATTACGTCTGGGTGTCTGTGTTTCATTAAAGCTCGGCTCTGTGTGTGTGTGGAACGAGCCATTTTGTGTGTGTGCGCGAGCGAGAGAGAGAGAGAGAGTGCACCGGTACCGGAGATCGTTGTTGTTAGCTTCTGGTGCTAGCGAGCTACGCTAACGGATATAAGGAGTTTTTTCAACAACAAAGTGGAGGAGAGTCCTCTCCTGTCAGACTGAGAGACTCAGTGAGCTAAAGGACTCTCTCAGTGTTATCTCAGTGGGTCTCAAACGTTTTGGTCACCATTAATATAAATAAATTAAAAACAATTATGAAATACTATATGACATTAAAAAATGTATAACGTTTAAAAGGGGAGTGATTTGTAAAATATCCATAAAGAAATAGTAAATCTGTTTACAGTTCTGTGTTGAGAGATGTATCCATACTGTAGATCTCTTCATTTTGCTCTCAAAGTGCACCAGATTGATGCTTTTAACTTCAATATTTAAAAATAAATCTTCCCGGGGGAGCTTGCCCCCGGACCCCCTATGTGAGGTCCACACACCACCTATAAAAATAGCACTTTACCCCTGCTTACACCTATATGCCGTGAGCTGATTATTGAGCCTTCATTGTAACAGTTGCGGGTACACTGTGTGTATGCGTGGAGAGTGTTGCAGTAGAACATTCCACTGTAGCGCCCGGTACATTAATGGGAAACCCTAAATGTTTGAGCACCCTCTATGAAACGTCAAGCTACCCCACAGCACCCCCAAAAGAAATCTCTGGCGCCGCCACTGAGCCTGACTATTTGTGTTGGGGGGGGGGGCCCGACTTTTTTTTTCTCCAAAGGGGGGGCCTGACAGAAAAAGTTTGAGAACCACTGGTCTAATGGATAGTGAGGTGGGCTGAAGATCGGAAGGCTGTGAGTTCAAATCCCGCCAGGAACACCACCACTAGTGTGCCCTTGAGTAAGGCACTTAGCCCTTAGTTACTCCAGGGAGAATGTCCCTGTAATCGGTCATTATAAGTCGCTTTGGATAAAAGCGTCAGCTAAATGAAATGTAATGTGATTAGTAAAATATGCATGAATAAATAAATAAAAAGTTAACTAGGTGAAAAAAGGTAAGATACACTTTTAAAACTTGTTGAGAGAAAACTAGTCTTTGCTGCTGCCTCAAAGAGGAGCAGGGGGAGAGGATGGAGAGGGGGGAGAGGAGGGAGACAGGAGAGGCTGATTCAGGAGCACAGACACACTCACAACTATAAATGAACCAAAACTAAATTAATAAACAAGTTTCAGTGTTTTTTTCATATTGGAAATGGTATGTTATTGGTTATGGCCTTGATTTTATGATTATTGAAATGTATACAGTTCTGTTAAATATAGGTGTTTCCATAGATCTAGTCTCTTTATTTTTCCCTCAAAATGCCCCAGATTGATGCATTTAACTCCAAAATAAAAAATAAAATCTTACCGGGGGGGCATGCCCCTGGACCCCCCTAGAGGATTTGAGGTCGACCCTCACTAAAAATCACATGGATAGGTTCCTAAATACATTTATAAATACATTTATTTTTTTAAATAGTAACCCATTTCCATATGTTCATGTGTGGGTAGTAGATTTAAACTATAGGGCTATCACTATGGGCCCTGCCTGTACCTGTTCGCTCTGCCATCGCGTGAAGGGTCTGCTAACAAGCGACCAACAGAAAGGTTAATGTTGTTGCACGTCACCTCAACCCCCCCCCGCTACCACCACCCCCCAAAGTATATTTCAGATCTGTGGGAAACACTGGCAGTTAATGGACCAGCACCAGAGGCATTCCCATACACACAGGCGTTGGAGCTGTTCTTCATGAAATCCCAGAAGGATGAAGTGCTCTGACAAACAGTGCCATCTTTGCGCAAAATGATTATACCGGAATGAAAAGTCAATAAATAATGTTGTTAAAACTTTTTTTTTTATTCGCGCACCCCCCCCCCCCCCTTGCCACCACCCGCCCAAGTATATTTCATATCTGTGGGAAACACTGTATATATATTTAAGAAGTACAATATAAGAAAAGTAAAAGTTTCAGGTGTGGCCATTTTCCATTATACTTTTAGAATTTGCTGAGGGCCTGTTCAGAGTGGACAATGGGCCGCAGTTGGCCCCCGGGCCGTAGTTTGGACACACCTGCTTTATTTTCTAGTTTCCTGTTCTCTATTTGAGAGAAACAGCTGGTGAACCATCACAAAAATGGATTTCGCCAGCTCAAGCATCAATGGTACATATTTGTTTATTAGATGTTTTATTTGTTGCTTTCCAACGGCACTTGATGGTGGGCTAGCACTTTGAAATCAATAGAAATCTAGTGAAAACAGTTCTATTAACCTCTTGATCCAACCCAAGTTGTGTTTCGTTAAGTGTTTAGAAAAAGGGTTAATTGTTGCATCTTGAGGGACACACCTTCAGTGGAAAATGACTGTTTATGATTGAACACATTCCTTTGATTATCATTAGGCATATATCCACACAATACAGTCATTGCAAAACAAGTCAATATAAAGCCTATTTGAAATGTTCATTTGACATGCAACTGTATTTACATTTTCTTTAAGGACATGCATATTTAACACAACAAGTGCATGTTTGAGCCTTTTGGGCATGGCATGTTTGAAATGTCACTGGTGGGACAGACAATGTCTTCCCATTCTGGAATGACAACAACATTGTTTTATTGGAAGTAGCATGAGCAAATGTGCCGTGTCGTCTTGTTTCTTAAGCTGTGTGCTTATAAGGTTGTTGATCTGGGCCATATCATGATTAATGACATGTCACTGCTTTATTGCATTTTAAATTCATATTTTATAAACCAAATCCTTTATAACCTCACACTTATCTGAACTCATTTAGAAGTGTTACCTTTGTCCTTGAAGGAGTGCCCACAGCTCCACTATCTGTAATGCTCCATGCCAAGTGTTCCACATGCTCACGATTGAGACGCCCTGGTGACAACTGAAAAAGCTCTTAACTGACAGAGATGTAATAATGCCACCGAATGTTATTTAAGGTATGCCCGTCAAAATGAATTGAAAGATGTATGGTTTACTTTGGTAACACAGTGACATCACTATTTAACACTTGCGTTTCTATTGTCTAGTGCTCCAAAACATGGACGTGATATACATCTCTAAGCGGTAGGCCAATCACAACAGAGCCGGCCAGCTAACCAATCAGAGCAGACTGAGGGTGAACAGAGGTGCTGACAGTATTAGAACAGTGAAGTATCTTTTGAAAAGCCTGCACAAAATACAAATATAAACCTAAAATTAGCCAAATGTATTCTTTTTAACATCAACTTGTCATTGTTCTCTGGAAGATAGCGTATGTGATTGGGACACTGTTTCCAAATAATATCAACAGCATTATTTTTAGATTTCTTATTTATCTGCTGAGTTGAAGTTATATCTGTGACAATCCAGTATAAGAATGGATTGCTTTAATTAGTGCTGTAGTTAGCACACTTTGCATCATGAAAAACAAGTTCAAAGATTCATCAAATATAGATCTGATCAATAACTTCCTGCAGAACGACTGATTAACCAATCATTGCACACTTCAACATGCCACTAAGTGCAGGAATACACTAAGCATCCTCATATCTCACAATGTAAAACATTGACATATAATATGTCTAATTCCCTGTGATTGAAATCCCTTG